AACAGACCAATGGATTGCAAACAACCAGGAAACATGTTTGTTCTGCACAAAGCCTTTGTTGGTGCCAAAACACAAAGACTTAGTGAAAGGCTATTGCCACACGATAGGAAAGTACCGCAGGGCTGCGCATAATGAATGTAACTTCAAGCTTAGATTGAATGCAAAAACGGTACCAATCCCGGTTGTATTTCATAACTTGGAAGGCTATGATGGGCACCTTTTGATCCAGGCAGTGTCGAGAGTGCACGGAGAAATAACAACGTGGAAAATTACATTTCATTCTCTTTGGGAAATCTTAGATTCATCGATAGTATGAATTTCTTGCTGAGCCATCTGGATTCTCTTGTAAAGGCAGCAACCCCAAGTCTTTCAAAATAACAGAGAAGAGGCACAAAGAGAAAGAAAACAGAAGGCTGCTCTTGAAGAAAGGAATTTACCCGTACGAATACACGGATTCTTTTGAAAGGTTTAGTGAGAAAAAGCTGCCTGCAAAAGAGGCGTTTTACTCCCAGAGCATCACTGAAGAAGAGTATGAGCACGCGAAGAAAGTATATGGGAAGCATTTGGGTGCAAAAATCTTGGTGACTATCACAAAGTGTACGTAACCACAGACGTGTTGCTGTTAGCGGATGTTTTCGAAAACTTCAGAAAGGTATGTATAGAAAAATACGGGCTGGATGCAGCGTATTATTACAGTTCACCAAGCTTGACCTGGGATGCTCTTCTGAAAAAGACAGGCATGGAGCTTGAGCTCTCGACACACCAAGACATGTACCTTTTCATCTCGATCGAGAGGAATGAGAGGAGGTATCTCAATGGTGAGCAAGCGCTATGCAAAGGCGAGCAACACGCTGGTTGAAGGATACGACCCGAGCAAACCAACAAATTACATAACTTACTTAGACGTGAATAACCGTTACGGCTGGGCGATGAGCTTGCCACTGCCGAAAAACGGTTTCAAGTGGAAGCGTGTCATGCCCACAGAAGAACAGATTATGAAAATGAAAGGGGTGGATACTAGAGGTAGACCTGAAGTACACTGAAGAGCTGCACGAAGAGGAGAACAGTTACCTACTTGCGCTGGAGAAAAAGGTCATTGGAAAGGAGTTAATGTCGGGTTACCAAAAGTGTTTGATGGAAGACCTGAAATTGGACCAACCGAACAGCGAGAAGCTAGTGCTGATGCTGGAGGACAAAAACAATTACCTGGTACACCACAAGAACCTGCAGCTATGTCTCAAACAAAGAATGCGTTTGAAAAGGTGCACAGAGCGATCAAGTTTGAACAAGAACCCTGGATGGAGCCCTAGATCCGGATGAACACTGAATTCAGGAAGAAAGCGAAAAGTGATTTCGAGAGCAACTTTTACAAAATTATGAACAACTTGGTTTTCGGAAAAACGATGGAGAACTTGAGAAACCGTATCGATGTGAAGATTTTCCGAAGCTGGGAGACAGACAAGATATGTTGTTTGGTGGCCAGCCCTTCATTTGCAAGGTATGAGATATTTGAAAATGACTTGGGAGGCATACACATGCACAAAAGCAACCCCTACTGAGCAAGCCTGTTCACACAGGTATGACAATTCTCGACAACGGCAAGATCTTGATTTATGATTTTTTCTATAATTGCTTGAAAACTAAGTATCGACCGAAGCGCGAGCTTATTTACACGGATACAGACAGCTTTCTCTTAGATATGGATATTGCGGAAGACATTGATTTGTATGACAAAAGCAACTATCCAAAAGACCACATGCTTTACAATGACAGAAATAAAAAGGTTCTAGGCAGGATGAAAGGTGAGTACGAGAGAAGGATGATTAAGGAAGCAGTGACCATAAGGCCAAAAATGTATTCAGTCTTGGAAGAAAACCAAAAAAATATAAGGAAAGCAAAGGGTGCGAAAAAGAATGTGGTGTAAAAGAAGTTAGGCACGAGCACTACGAAGAAGCGCTTTTAGCGAAAAAACAATTCTAGCATGGAATGAGCATTCTTCGCAGCGAGGGTCATGAGATATATAGCATGCATGTGAATAGGGTTTCACTTTCATCCTTTGATACAAAGCATTGGATAGCAGATGACGGCGTTCACACACTGACATACAGACAAAAAGATATTAACGAAAGGCGTTGGCAGGCTGAAGCTGTGTATTTGGCGGCACAACCAACAGTTCTTGGTGGACAAAACCGTGCTTAGGCCCGTCAAACAAATAATAGATATAAGGCTGGTCAGGTTTGGTTACAGACTGTAGACTTTCAAAGACCAGATTGGGTCTGTAGCTCTTTTAGTTCCGCCTTCAAGTTCACTGGGTTGATACAAATATCGTACATTAATGAGAAGGGGGAGCTTTCTTTTCTTTCAACCCAACAGGTCTGGAATTCTTTGTAGAGGGTTTGGATGTGAGACAGCCTTCTCTTTCATTGCAACAGCCGTTTTTTCCCCTGATAAGACTGGTCACCCCATTGTTCAGAGCGCTAACAACGTCGGGAAGCCTTTCACCCACGTAGTCGACCGCTGGCCAGAAGGCAGGAGCATTTCCACGGCATACTGATGACCGAATAAGCGATCCACCAGCGTGCAACTTGGTCTCTGTGAATCTCACTGCGCCCACGACGAACAGTTGTTTTGTGGTTTTCCATCTCTTTGGTCACACTTCCCATAAACTCGTGCCCAGGGTCAACTTGAAGCAGCTGAGGCCACGTCAAAGGGCTTCGCATGTAAATCGACTGAAAAGCTCTCGCAACTTCAACAGAATCTTTTGAGGTCAGAGGCTCAGCTTTTTTGTAGCGGCTGGCCACGTCAACAACGGTCAGCGCATATTGTAAACTTTCCGCCCCCCGTGGCAGCTTTTCGTGTGGCAGAATAAGAAGGTCCGCTTGGTGGACCGCGTTGGGTGCCGATACATTGAGTGTCTTCTGGGGCTTCTGCAGCGTCCGCTAATTTTTTAATGGCAGCGATAACTCTCCAGTAGCCCTGGGGGCTGTAGTAGACTTTGGTGAGCTTAGATTCCATTATGTTACACCACGAAACGTTCAAAGAGAATGAAAAGCTGCATAACCAAAAAGCAACTCACCTTGGTTCTGATGGTGACTGGGTTGATAAAAGTCAGAGAATTGAGGTTCTTTGGGGGTGTAATTGGTTAGCCTGGGTGCATTTGGCGTTAGAGTGTGATTGCGTAATCAGTGTTCGTGAAGTCCTGCTTTGCCTTTTCTTTCATTTTTCTGATGGTATCGATCCAATCAAGAAGCTTGGTGCGGTCACATGTGTATTTGGTGTAAGGGGCATTATATGCTTCAATGGCTTTGTCATGCCGCTTTTTCCCTTCCAATGTGACCTTTCCGTCGCTGGCCAAATAGCTAGCAAGATAGTTGCCGCCGGTGAAAGCAACGGCGTTAATGATGGCGCTTCCGATCATCATTCCGATACTAGCCATTTGCACATATAGCAATATGCTTAATTTTTTAACTGGTTGGAAGAATCTTCTGGTCTTCGAGATACTGTTCAGCTTGACGCTGCCAGTCATGACAGCAGTGAACTTTGCCTAGTTCATGATATTGCTGCTGGGGTCAGAGGTGAAGTTCTCTTTCACCACCTTTTTCGCAATCTAGCCGATGCCGGTGGCTAAGCCAGTCAGAGTGGCAGCATCCACGATCGTTTTCACGAGCTTGTTGTCAGACATCGTATAATAATACTGAAAATTATCAGTTTCCAGGTTTCGCAACAATCGAAATATAAGGATTTGTATGGATTATATTCTTAAGCCTAAATATACGAAGAATTATGAATAAAAATAAACCTACCAAGCTTCAGGTGTGTAGTGAAGTTTTGGTGAGTTTTCTAGGCAAGTTTATGGTCATTTAGTTGGTTTGTGGCTTCATTGCTTTGTCTTCTATCTTTTCCCAAGGTAGGGCACTGCATGACCCCAGCCGAGCGGGTCCACTGAACAAAGACAGCCGTAAATTCACTTTTAAATACTCCTCGAAATTTCACAGACATCATGGACAATAGTTTTCGGAGCATGAGGTGAATTTACGGCCGTTTTCGTTCAGTGGACTTGTTCGGCTGGGGTCATGCAGTGCCCTACCTTGGGAAAAGACGTGAGTACTACAGTCTGCCAAAGAAAACCATGCCACTGTGAGATCCATCTCATCATGGAGAAAACTATTCTCAAAAAGCTGAAAGATGAAAGATCACGCGATGAAATCTCTCCCTCTTTGTAAATGCCTTTTTTTCAACAATGAAACGACATAAAAAGAGAAATACCGGTATTTGTTGGTTCTTTGTACTCAACACATGACAATTTTATCACCTCTCGCGTGGCGCCGACACAAAGCACGTAATCTATAGCTCGCTTTACACCGCCACGTTACTAGAAAAGGTTATGTACTGAGAGAAATGTGTGTGTGGTGTGTATCACATCAGTCTTTTATACTGTTTGAAATCACTGCATGAAGTTTATTTTTTATGCATCATTTATATACTTCTCTTTGAGCTTAATAGCATAGCTCTCTTGCTTAGGTTAAGAAGCTCGCCGTTAACTGCGAGCTACCAAAGACTATTATCTTGAAGTAAAGTTGTTGAAAGTAAAGCTGGACGCACAAAAAAATACACCCTCTCAGTTTCATTGTCGTTGCTTTCATAGTTACAGATGGATGGGGTGTGGACAAAATCATGTCCAAGTAAACAAAGAAAAATAGAAAAATTAAAATCCTTATCTTAAGATAAGAGAAGATTTGTTAAGTAAAAATGAGATGAAGGATGCTGTGTGTTCTGGTGTCTTGAGGACGCTTGTCAGGCCCTGGAGGGGTTTTGAAACTGAAACAAAAAAGTTAGAGAAATAAATAAAAATTAAATAAATAAGTAAATAAATAAATTTCGTAATTGACTACTTCCCCAATGGGGCATTTCAGGGCCAATGGAAACTCACAGTTGCTAGAATACAACCATTTCGTCGATGTCAACTGTGTCTTTTTATTCTTTTGCTTTGATACATGCAGGGTGTGGTCCAGTGATTAATAACACACTCAAAAGTCCCGGATATCCTAATGATTACCCAAGTAATACAGATTGTGTTTCTTCGGTTCCTATTCCACAAGGCATGGTGATTAATATTACCATTAACCAACTTTACCTGGAGGATGGTACATCTTGCAAGTAAGTACTAATTTTTAGCTTGTTATTAAGTTGTGAATGTAGGGAGAGGTCTAGCGACCTGCATTACTTTCTCAACAGAATGCAAAACCTGAATGTGCAGAAGTCTCCAAGTAACAAGAACAAAAACTTCTGAAACTAAATTATAGCTGTAAGTTAAAGGGCCCTAGTCAGCCACACCTTTGTTTTTGTTTACGTGCGAGAGTTTGGCTATTATATTTTATTCGGAGCATGTCGAAACGAAGCAAATCACTGTGAAACTACTTAAGATAATTAAACATACTTTTAGGAACACAACTTACAGTGAAGCAATAAGATTTCGCTTCACTATGCAATATCAATAATTTTGATGGCATCGAAAATGGCGGAGGCTGACTATAGATACCTCTTAGTAACCCAGTTCGAGAGCCGTACTGTAAGTTACGAAACGAGTGCTCCCCCATTGAAAGGGAAAAACGAGGATCCGTAACTTACAGTATGGACCAAGAAAATGAGGTTAGTAAGATATTTGTTTCATCTCTACTGTGTGTCTGACGGGTTTGGGAACGATTTCTGTTCCCGCGGAACGGCGTCAAATTTCTGACGCAGCTCGAAAGCAAAACGAGTCAATTTGAAATCGTTGTTAAGTGACTCTTAAGTCGTTAGCAGGTTTTAATATAAAATTTCAGAAATAAAAGAAAGTTTTAAACTTTTACTTGCTAAAAAAGTTAAGAAAACTTGGCGATAAATCACGAAACATTTTGGCAACCAAAACAGCTATAATTTTTAGCGTGCAGTACAGTAGAATACGGCCCGCTAAATTGACCAATCACAACGCCTGCACTAACTGAGAGAAATAATACATAATAAGGTCCTTAAATATACATATTTCTTATTTTTTTTATCGTCATCGTTATTTTTTTTTTGATCACGTCTTCACAAAAACCGTGAGGAAAGATAGTGATTTAGATTCTTAAGATGACCAAACACTAGCGGACTCAACTTGAAGCGGGGACATGTTGCAACGACATTTTTCTCAGTTTGAAAGTTTTGCTAGTGCGGAAAAGGGAGTAGAGTTGGCGCAGTGGTGAGAGCGTTGGCCTCCCACCAATGTGGGCCGGGTTTGATTCCTGCCCAGTGCCTTATGTGGGTTGAGTTGTCGGTTCTCGCCTGGCTTCGAGGGATTTTCTCCGGGTTCTCCGGTTTTCCTGCCTCCACAAAAACCAACACTAAATTCTAATTTGACCAGGATAGAGGACCCACATGGAAACCACCAAAAGCTGATGTGGCTTCCTCTCTCAATATTGTAATTTATTTATAACTTATTTATTTATTTACGTTGCGGGGACAACACAAAATGATGCATGAAATTCAGTTGTGTCGAATTCGTCGTTCATGAAGCAGGAACAAAATGACCCCAGTTCTAAATGTCGCATTGTGAGCACTGCTCTTGCACACTGTCCCCGCTAAAACAAAGAAATCAACCAATATCCTCTTCGTGTGCACCTGCTTGTTTACTGTCCCTGCAACATGGGTCCTATGCGTACACACGAATGGGCTTGTCTCCGCTTCACTTTTAGAGCTTGCCGTACTCGGATTCTATTGAATGATAGAATACAAGTCACTCAACCAAACCACTTGCAATATTTACATAAGAACACTAGTATAAATTTATTAATTGTAGATAGTTCGACGCAACTTTAATGAGAATGAAGCTAAGTGAGAAACTACAACGGCAATCGGTTACACTTACCCACTCTTTAACTTAACTTAACACACTGTAAGAAGTCAAGCAACTGTTACACACTCTTATAAGGAAAATGGCTGAATGAATAAATGACTGGCTACATGATCACAACATAATGAAATTCAAACTTAGGGTTAAAAAACTGACATGCGCATACGTGATGCACTCTACAATGACCCCCAAGCTCTTACCTTGAGTCGTCGCCCCTTACTGTGCAAGCGAGTGACTCTCGAAAGTTCCGTTGCAGGATTGATTTTGGTTGGTTGTAAAAACAATGAAAACCACAAGAAGTAAAACAACAGGGACCCGACTGAAGCACCTGATTATCAGCTAGGCATGCGCAATTCAACCGGATTTCTAATCAGTACTTTCCAGGGTCGCTCGGTTCTTGAGTGCTGGTCAAGGGGAATGAAGAATCTGGGTTCTAGGTTGAAGTGATTCTTTGTTACAGAAGGTCACTTGCTTATGTTTCATTTCTTTGTAGCCGAGATTATTTACAGATTACCAATGAGATGAAGCGGGTGTTTGGCAAGTACTGTGGTCACATGACTGGAAAGACAGTACTTGTATCGGGAAAATACGCCTTGATAAAATTCCACTCAAACAGGAGAATTCAAAACAGAGGATTTCTGATCAGTTTCACACCCTGTAAGAAATGATAACTGAATTGAGTTTATGCTTTAATATTAGTGATAATAACTTTAAAACGTGTTAAGACACAGAAGGTAGATATTTCTCGGACAATTGTAAAACCAAAGTCAAAAAGAGCGAGTAGGTGTGTATCTGCAAGAGTAACTGTTGGGGGGCGATAGAAATCGATATAGAGAATCAATCAATCTAATGAATATCGATCGCTCGATATCTATAGACATAAATAATGACTTTGGAAAACGATACAAATTTGACACTTTGCAACGCACTCAATCCTCGAATTTTGCATCGAGATAGCCTCCTTTGGATCAAACTAAATTGTCGAGTGCCCAAAGGACTTTTTTTCTCGAACACGTAGGAACAGTGATCAAAAACCTTGGTTCCCTACACAAACTCAAAAGGCCTTCCATTAAATTGATTTCACACGGTTTCATGTCACCTGTCCTTGCTAAGTGAAAGTACCAGTTTCAAGCTGTTGTCATCGTAGCATGTTAGTGAAATTTCTTGCCATGGGGTAGCCTGCGTAACTGGTGAGATTCTTGAGCGAGTGGTGTTTGGTGCGGGAACCGCCATTTTATTCTCACGTCAGTGAAGCCCACAAGCAGGGCGCTAATATGCATGGCCTATTTCTGCCCTGCCACGAGGAAATTCGCCAGCGGTGAAGCCCTGAGTGAAATTTAACTCGACTCAGTCACCAATTCCCTCGCGACTTCGCCAGTCGTGTTCACTCTCGGCTTTGCCACAAAAACAAAATCCTACCAGCTATGCAGGCTAGCCATCGGGAGCTATACTAGACTGCTGGCAGCTGGTTTTTTCTCTGAGGGTCACTTAGACGACTGTTTAAGAGTTTTTCCTCATAATCCCAGCTGAATTTCGAGGGAAAAACAGACTGCCAGCAGTCTAGAGTTGTACAGTTTTTTAATTAAGTCACGTGATCTGTTCTAGTCTAGTGATAGGAAAGTTTTCATGATATAACAGCCAGGACCCTTGCATCAAGTGGTAGGGTCTCCAGGAAACAAAGATCACTTTTTCCTTGTGGCCAGTCATTAAGTATCTTTGAGGCCATATGAATAGCGTACGGAGGCATATTTGACACCAAATGGCGAACTCCAAAAGGCGGGTTAAGTTGACCACAGAGAACCAACTCGGAAATTTGTGTCCTACAGAAAGCTTCTACTGTTATCGTATTTTCATGTTATTTGTGAGGATGTAAATTTTTTTTTTCTAATTCATAGCTGTGCCAATACCTGTCGCCTTCTACCCCTTGAATGCTCGCCATAAAGCCACAGAAAAAGAGTACAGGCAGCCAAATGGAACCCTGGGAGATGTTGCGATTACAAACGGACCCTACAACGAACCAGGCGGAGCGTACATGTTTTATGGCACTGTTAGCAGCTACATTAAGTTTCCGAATAATGGGGGCCTGGACACTCAGTTCTCAATCACACTGATGTGCTGGGTACAACGCACAGGCCAAGATGGACCACTATTCAGCTACGGAGATTGGGGAGTCCTAATGTGGATTGTGGACGGCAAATTCTTGAATCAAATTGTAGAAAAATCTTCCAAAACACTGACTAGCATAAAAACTGCTGAGGTTCTTCCAGCAGGAAAGTGGGTTCATGTTGCAGCAAGTTACGATCACAACACCGGAAATAACTCGCTGTATATCAATGGACATTTCAGTATCTCGCAAAACATTGGCAAAGGTTATGAGATTGCAACTGACCCCCGCACAGTTCGAATGGGTTTTAGAGATTGCAAAAGCACGACATATTTCAAAGGGAAAATCGCAGAAATGAAGGTTTACGATGTTGCACTGAACAAGACACAGATACAGACATCGATAAGACAAGGTAGCTGATAAATAATACGATGCACTTTGCAAATAGTTTCAACCTGAAATCGTGGACTCGTTACCTTCTCCAGTAGACGGATGTCTTCTGTTGTTTTCCGTTGACCGAAAATAACGTAAGTCACTTGTGCAATCTAAGAGCAGGGGAAGACAAACTACATCAGCTTTAATTTCTTTCCACCTAGTAGCCACATTTGAGCAAAAAAATGAAAAAAAAATTAGTCTTGTCAAATGGCAATCTAATGCGAGGATCATTTCTTCACTTTACTCTCCATGCGCAGTTCATGTTTTATAATTATCTCACACGTATCAAAATTTTTTTATCTCTGGGTTGTTTTAAGCACGCAACACAAATATATGTATTTGTGTCAATGTGTCAACTAAAGTCACGTTTTGACGTAATCTGTGCATGTATTACAGGAACACGTGATTTTTTTTTGATTTATCTAAGCAGGTATCGTTCAGTTAATGAGTAAGGGTAAAAGGTTTTTATTTCTAACCGATTAGTTCCACCAATGGTAACATTCCCAGCTGCTCTGCTAGCAATACAAGGAGGCATGCTGTCATGTTCAGCCACAGGAACTCCTCCCATATACACAGCACTGATACGGAACTCTACAGTACTGGTGAATACAACAAACACTGCAACCATCCGTCTGGACAAGGATGGAGACTACACCTGCCAGGCCATCAACCAGTATGGAACTGACGTGAAAGAACTCCAAGTCAATTTCACAAGTAAGAGATTTTTTTCTGGCCTGCTTGAGAGTGAGTCCCAGGGAAACTTCGAGAAAACACCCTGTAATGGCCCTCTGGGTGCAAAGTGCTAAGCCCCTGTACTGCAAAAAATGAACTAGTTGGAAACTATAACTTAAAGTGAAGTTGCATGCTGTCCAAATTGTTATCAAAGTGTTGTTTCTGACTATTCATTGGCCATAGCATCTCTTGATTTAACTGACATCTCATGCAGTGATCGCACTTTAGGACATATCTTGAACGCCTTCAATCCTGGCCAAAACGTTTGAGACACTGTTATTTTTCCATAAAACCGGAATCCAATTTACTCCCCCTCCCGCTCTGGACAATGCTGGGTGTCAGTAGTCAATGAATTGCAGAAATGGACAATTAATTACTGCGAAGTGATTTAATAAAATAACTGAGAAAGTACGTGCACTCCCATTGATTGGGCGATAGGTGTGTTTAGATGAGCGTATATAAACACGGGTGTGATGTTTTAAATTCGCGCGTATTTTCAAGAAATATTTTATAAAAGCAATAGAGTACTTTTTCGAGTTTATGTAACTTCATCTAAACACTTGAGGAGTTGGAAGAATACTGAAAAGTGTTGAAAACCTTGACTTGCGTCTCGGGTTTGAATAACTATCTCGAATTCTCCCAACCCCTCACGTGTTTAGTTGAGGCTACGTAAACACGGAAAAAGGTACTCATCGGTAAATCTGAAGCTCAACGTCCTAAGTTTGGAGACGTCCATGAAAACAGTAACAGCCCAATAAAGTAAATGCAAGTTGGTTTTAAGCTGGGAGAGGTTTCAACTAGGTCTTTGTTATTGGATGTCCATTTTACTAAAATGAATTAACTGGTCTTAACAGCGTTTGGCCCAGAGATCGGCTTTCTGATCAGTGAAGGATATCCTGTCAGCTACCCAAGGTATGCGGACAATGTACATACATATCCTATTCCAGAAGGCTGGTCGATGAACATTTACTTTCAGGATTTTGATGTGGAAGAAAGTCCATTTTGCAGGTAAGTGATATGGTTGTGATTATCAAGGTGTATCAGTGTATCTAATGTAATGTAGCAACGTGTGATGGTGTTACGCTTCTGATAACATTTTATATATTCAGGATCCTTTGATCCTTCTGCTCCTGCCCGGGCTCCAGGTATATTCCTGGCCCTGCGAAAACCCCGACGCATTTGGCTCCCTTATGGGTTTGGTCTCGCATGTTGGAGAGAATACAAACATGATGCTGCATTCCTATGTATTTCATCTCCTGTTGATCAAATATGGATATTATAATGCATGTAGATTTTATCGGTATCTGAGATTATAGTTTCATATTGAAGGATCACACGTCTTTAATTTTTCAATGACACATGCATTGTAAGTTACTTGGCATATTTAAAGTGCCTATGAAATGAAATTTTTGCCCCCTTTTTATTCCAGAAAATTAAAGTCTATGTTACACTGATTCATAATTTTCTAATTTAACCTCTGGTCAGGCGCGTAAAACAGTTTTTTGATCCCTCCAAGCCAAAAATGCAAGTGTCGTATACTAGTCTAAACTAGTCACATCAGTGCATTTCCTACAAAGTTACCACTCGTTGAGATGGGGTTTTTTGGCGATTTTATTCAGTGGAAAATGTCCTAAGATGATGAATTATCCAGTAATACATCATCTTCGTCTTATGTTGAATCGCTGCAGTCAGTGAGAGAAGGGGAGCGCTCTTTTAATTCAATCGCTCAGCTCTATCAAGTCGAGCATTTGCATTGCCGACGTGGAAGAANTTTTTTTTTCTAATTCATAGCTGTGCCAATACCTGTCGCCTTCTACCCCTTGAATGCTCGCCATAAAGCCACAGAAAAAGAGTACAGGCAGCCAAATGGAACCCTGGGAGATGTTGCGATAACAAACGGACCCTACAACGAACCAGGCGGAGCGTACATGTTTTATGGCACTGTTAGCAGCTACATTAAGTTTCCGAATAATGGGGGCCTGGACACTCAGTTCTCAATCACACTGATGTGCTGGGTACAACGCACAGGCCAAGATGGACCACTATTCAGCTACGGAGATTGGGGAGTCCTAATGTGGATTGTGGACGGCAAATTCTTGAATCAAATTGTAGAAAAATCTTCCAAAACACTGACTAGCATAAAAACTGCTGAGGTTCTTCCAGCAGGAAAGTGGGTTCATGTTGCAGCAAGTTACGATCACAACACCGGAAATAACTCGCTGTATATCAATGGACATTTCAGTATCTCGCAAAACATTGGCAAAGGTTATGAGATTGCAACTGACCCCCGCACAGTTCGAATGGGTTTTAGAGATTGCAAAAGCACGACATATTTCAAAGGGAAAATCGCAGAAATGAAG